ATAACTATATTAAATAAAATTCAAAGTCATACATCAAAAATAAATTGAAATGCATGAGCAATGCATGCATAATGCACGTTTAACACATTAATTTAGAATTTAGTTAGAAATTAAAAAAAAAAAATCCAAGTAACTTGTTGACATTCATTATTTGCTTTTGAACTTTTAAACTCAGTATACATCTCATTTATTTAATGATTGTAATTTTTATTTTTTATTTTTTAAATATAAATTATTCCATATACAATTAGATACAATCATTTTTTCCCCTCATAGACACAAAGTTGGCAATAAGTTGTACATATATTCACTGTAATGAAAGTAAAACTTACAATAGAATTTGTATATTTATGTTGCTGTTATAACCCAATTCTTGCCCTACATTTTTATCTTTTGCAAAAATCTCAATTTTTTTTTAAAAAAAAAGTAATTTCTCACAAATTCCCAATTTAAATGAAAAATTAAAAAATTTTGAGCTTTTATTTGATCTAATAAATTAATTTGAAGAATATGTCCAAAGGAAAACCGAGATTTAATTGAATTAATGTCACTTAGTACTCAATCGAAAAGACTTAAAACAAGAGTGTCATTTTGCAGGGACTCCATGCAAGACGGACTAAAATTTGGACTAAAGTGACCGAAAGCGAACATTGAGGACTCAAGTGTAAAACTAGCCCAAAATGGCGTCGTTTTGACGCTAGACCGTTAAAATTCAAAGCCCAGGGCACTGTCGTGCCCGAGTTTCCCCCATTCTGCAGCCTCTCCTTCCTTTTTTAACTTCGTTCCCGTTCTGCAGCAACCCCTGCTCCGTTCCTGTAATTGCACCAAACCAAAAGTCCTTTTTCGGTCCATATCTGTGCTCCGGATTAACCTGCAAAGCCCCGAGATGGATCTCGGGGTAGACACTCCGATGCTTAAGTCAGCAATAATCGGGGCTACCAATAGAACGAAGACTAGAAGAGCTTAGGGTTGGTTTTCAATTACCTTTTTGAGGTGACCCTTAAAGGGTATTTATATGTTCCGATGAAGGACCCACGCGGCATGCTAAGCAAAATATTCGGGATCCGATGTGTATCTCCAGGCAGTTATTTTGGGACCGGAAAATTGAGCCAAGCAAGATATTCGGGATTTGATGTGTATCTCCACGGAGTTATTTCGGGACTGGGAGATTGAGATATATTTAGATGCGAGAATGTCCATCGTAACTACTGTGTAGCTATTTGAGCGAGAAGTTCAATTCCGTTCTCCAATCCAGTCATCATCCTTGGACCCACCTTCATCCAAACCTAGAAAAAGCAGCAAGTTTCAATCCACGTGGCAGCACCTTTGGAGCCCTGAGATGGCCCCCTCTTCACTGTCCGTGAGACACGCCAGAAGAGGCCACCCATAGCGGACCAAAGTCTACCCCAATCTGACGTGGCCAGCCTCAATTCCTGGTCCTGTGGCCTGAACATAGGTCATTAGGTATGCATTTCTACTCATTGTATTTCTATTTTGATGAGAGAATCAATGGAAAAAATCACCAAAGCATGGTTTTCTTATGTTTACTTTGATCTTTGTTTGGGCAGTTTCGTGATCCAATATTGTTGATATGTTCAGCTGCTTTTACACCTGAAAATTCGAAGGATGTTTACTCAGGAAAACACTTGAACGCTCAAGTTAGTAATACTTAATATTCTAGAGAGAGATGCTCTAGAGAGAGAAGCTAATGGAGTTAATATCTTTTATATGAAGGTAGTTGGGGGTATTTATAATCCCATATACTGACAGGAGTTTAGACATGTGTTCATCCAATTGATCCACATGATCTTGGGCCTATGGGTGTATAACTAGGCCTGTTGCACGTAACGTGAAACGGGTGTTGGGTCTAATCCTAATAATCTTTATATGAGTTTAATTGATTTTGTAATGAAGTTGCTGTTGAATGCTTTTTGTTGGGTTGGAATTTTTGGAAATTCGCTCTCTAGGAAGAAATTTGCTACATGATTTGTGTAACCTATGGATTTACAGTTTAGAACCAACCCCACATTGAGTTTCCTAATTTCGGAATCCAGACCCTGTTGTTTTTAGTATTCCTGAGTTTATCCATTGTGACCTCCGGAATTGTGCGTCTGTTGGTGAACGCACGTTTAATCCCATGAATTTCTTCTCTGTACATTCATTTATGTTCTCGTATAGAACTCTAGGGATTTGGAATGTGGATTAGAAAAAAAAAAAAGGAATGTCTAGGTTGTTCGGTTGGGCCATAGTTTGGCCCAACCCAAATTCTATGGTTTCTTTCTATAGTTGGCCCTTTTCCTTTTCACATGGACCATAACCCAATCATTTTTAAATCCATTCAACTTTCAAAAAAAGGAAAAAAATTCGTTTCATTTTATTGGTTCGATTATCACATAATGAATAAATTTAACCAACCTAATTCAACCTTGACCCCTAGTCAAATATTTGACTGGGTAAAAGTCAAATATTTTAAAACTCAACAAATCCCTTAAAAAAATATTAAAAAAAATCAATTTAATCCCAAAATTTCTAAATCCTTCGATTTAGAATTAATAATAATAATAATAATAATAATAATAATAATAATAATAATATTATTATTATTATTATTATTATTAAGAAGTTCAATTAAAACCTCAATTTTCAAGTAAGTAATCATGTTTGACATGAAGAATTGTAAAGTAT